GGCCACTAGAGGGCAGAAAAACACCACAAAAGCTGATATATTCACAAAAAAGTGAGTGTAAACCTTTAAAAGTTTGATTTAAATAGCCTACTATGTCTGAATTGGATTAAGGCCATTACCAATTCATGTAAAAATACACTAAAACTAAACAAAACACAAAATATCAATATAAACACTTAATTAAAGATTGATCAAGAGACATTATAGTAGGTGGTGGAACTACTTTGGTCAGCAACCAACTATCATAATAACAAGTTTTGCCACATGTAAATATATTTTTTCATGTTATTTATTATTAGTTTTATGTGTAGCATTGGTATCATTTGTGCCCAATGGAGAAGAAATCGCACAATTAAATACAGGATAACATGGATGAATTTGTTGAATTTTGTTGATGAATTCAATTTGGATTTGAATTGGTTGCATGTAGCAACATGATATAAAGAATTTGTGGTAATCATTCCTAATTCTTTTGTTTATTTTCCAGATGTACCAACAGCACTCATCATTCTTGGCATCATCCTTCTGCTCCTAACAGCAGCAGGCGTTGTGTGGTATTACAAACTGTGAGTCATACTGTCAGATGTCCTGCATTGCTTAAACCACAGAAGCATATTTCTCCTTGGAAAAAAACATGTATAATAATGAATAAAAAGAATTATAATCTGATTTCATCTTGGAGGAGAGAAAGAGTTTGAAACCATGAATGGCTCTACTGTCTCTGCCATCAATTGTGACAGACTAGAGGCAACTCAAGCACTGCTATGTTTAGTTCTTAATACACAAGCTTCATACTCATACTTACTGCATGTGTACAACTTTTATTATACCTGTTGCAATACCAGAGAGAACGATCTTAGGACCTAATTTCTAATGAATTTAATATGTGTTAATATGTGCTAATATTTGTTATCCATGTGTATTGTGTTTCTAATATGATATTTTTTTCTCTCCTTTTGGAAAAGGAATATTTTCACCTTTTGTCCTCAGGGGCAGCAGAAGGACGACATAGAGACAGAGATGTGGAAGCACACCGAC